AAAACTAAATAAAAATAAAAACTAATGAAAACTGCAAAACTATTAAAACCCTGATCTACAGTGACGTCATTGTGGTTACACGAGCTCCGCGGACATTCTGTGCTCCAACAGACTCGACAACATCTTGTCCTCTAAAGAGGTTAAAAATAAATACGCAAACTCATTAAGGAAACAAAGATAACCCTTCCTGCTACAGCTGAACTGCTGTATATGTTTAACAGCTCCACTGATTTGACTCTTTTATCTAAATAGTATAACCTTTAGGAGAATTCTGTTCCCTGGACAGATTTATCACACAGGTCCCTGTGCCTCGTACTCAAAGATGACTTCATTCAATTTCTAAATAAATTAATGAATAGTTAAAGCAAACTGGCTGCATACGACCACAGTGCACGTCTTACAGTATGTTTTCATTATTCCAGTTATTTGGACAAGATCTCCAACACCACTGGCTGAAATGCAACACAAACTATGATAAAGCCTCCACCGTGTTTTATGGATGACAGCAGACACTAAGTGCTGTATCTCTTTCCCGACCTCCTACATGTATACTAACAGCAATTTCAACCAGAATTGTTATATTTGGAGTTGAGTCCAGTGCTTTTATAATATACAGATTTTTATTTTTACCCGTATTCCTCCCGTTCTGATGAGGCTTCAGTGAACAGCAGGCCAAACAACCCAACTCAAGGTTCATTCCTCGAGTTAGGTGGCTTTTTTAATGGTTGAATGATTCATAGGTCAGTGTTTAGTCTGTCATAGGTCAGTGTGGCTTAATAAGAAAAGCAAACATTCTGTCACGGCTGAGGAGGCGAGCCGTGTAGTGTGGAGGAAGGAGGACCCAAGATGCAAGCAGTGGATGAAAATGCTAGTGAAGTTTATTTACAAGGTGGTGTAGCGGCAAACGAGCAGTGGGGCATGACAAAATAACTGAAGACACCTAAACTGGGAGAACTAAAATAACAGACCTGGGAGCATACGACAAAGGGATGAGAGGCAGAGAGAGGAAGACGAAGAGCAGGACACCGAGGAACACAGCTGGGAGGAATCAGAGCTGACGGGACAGAGGAAACGTAAACTGAACACACTCACATCAGACAGAGACCTTCACAATAAAACAGGAAACTCAGACACGGGGAACCAAACCAGACACAGAACTAAACAGACAGATTCCCAAACAGACGGGGTGACACCATAGACAGACAGAGACACAGACGCAGACTCAGAGGCAGACCGAATATAACACATAGAACTCAAACAATAATAATCATCATCATAATAAACTAGAAAATGATAATAAACTAAAAGCGCTGGGTCACCGACCCAGGACCATGACACATTCCTTTGAAAATAATGAGGTACAAGGACTGGACTGAGTGTAACAGCAGCCACTGTCCAAAGAAAAGCTTTGAAATGTAAAGGTGGGGAACTGTATCTCAGCTCTGGCTCATTGAAAGCAAAATAGAAAGAAATGAGGGTGACTCAAGAGTTTTGCACAAAAATCTCTTAATAACATTTATGCTGCCCTCACGACACGTGACCATGTGAAGCTAGACAGCTAGCGAACAAAATAGA